ACGAGTAAATTTCCTCTTTGGAAAGTGGTGGCACAGAGTTCCCCACGTCGTATGGATACGATAGTAAAACACGACGTACAGATAGGGTTAATCCTTATTAACATTAGTTCTTCTATTTCCCGTTAAGAAATATTCTCCTAGGAAGATGCTTCGGTCATTGTCAGACACTGACCCTGCTCTAACGGCCGCCTGTCTAAGGGTACGACCACGTTAAGGACTGCCGCCTGTCTAAGGGTACGACCACATTAAGGACGACCGCCTGTCTAAGGGTACGACCACATTAAGGACGGCCGCCTGTCTAAGAGTACGACCACATTAAGGACGGTCTCCTGTCTAAGGGTACGACCACGTTAAGGAAGGTCTCCTGTCTAAGGGTACGACCACGTAAAGGACTGCCGCCTGTCTAAGGGTACGACCACATTAAGGACGGTCTCCTGTCTAAGGGTACGACCACGTAAAGGACGGTCTCCTGTCTAAGGGTACGACCACGTAAAGGACGGTCTCCTGTCTAAGGGTACGACCATGTTGTTTTTGTTTTAGTAGAGGTTTTACGAGGCTCGCAACTGCATAAGTTCACATGAGCGCCAGAAGAGTAGAGGTGTTACAAGAGAGTAACAAACACAAAAAAGAAGGAGGGGAGATAAGGACGATAGAAGTTTGATAAGAAAGAAGAAGCAAACCACACCAGAGCACCCGCCAACCACCCACAGACCACGTTAAGGATGGACGACGCGACAAAATGGCTAACGATTTGTAGTTTGTAGATAAAGCAAAACAAAGAAGGGAGTATAATAGAACAAAATCGTTTTGCCACACCACGTCACGTTGACACCGACACGATTTCCCAAGTTACGGACGACACGATTCCCACAGAACATGTTTTAAAATTGTTGTCCGTCCGTTTCAAGGGAAATAATCTCCTCAACTAGCCCCGTTCAGAATTATTTCTCTTTTCCCACCAGTTGTCTATAAATTAGCTATGGTGCAAAGCCGCTAAAAGGTAAACTATCGTACATGTGGTGGCTTTTAAGGGCAAGCGGGATTACCCAGATTTCAGGTGTATCTAGAAATCTTGACCTACACCAAAAGTGAGCATTGGCCAACCTATAGGAGAAGTTTGGTTTCATTGGTGTGAATATTTGTTTGGTTATAGAGAAAACTCTCCTTGTCTTCTAAAGAAACTGAACAAGGGGAAAACATTTTACCTTCGATTTTCTCAAAAACAGCATTTCATCCACAAACATGTATAAGAATGTATTTGAATTGACATACACGGTGCTGAGCAAAACAACAACAACAACAACAAAACATTCAGAAAAAAAAATCCAAACTGGCCGAAAAAGGCCGATTTCTTTGATTTCCTTATTTGAAAGAGTGCCTGATTTCACCGCAATGACTCACATATTACAAAAACTTACGTTCCAGAAGTCCGAAGATGGGTCCGTATCCGATAGAAGAGATATAAGCGGTGACGGTGTCGGTCTTGGCGGCGTTTGTAAGTCCGTCCCAGGTTCTCTTTTCCGCTCTACTCAGGTGTTCGTAGTAGTCGTGGTGGTAATTCTTTAGGGGGGAGGGGGGGTTTGGTTTAATTGGGGGTGGGGGCAGGGGGTAAGTGGGGGCAGGGGGTGGGTGAGGGGGAGCGAGGGAGGCAGAGAGGATGGAGTTATTGCAAACGTTCTTACATCATCATCATCATCATCATCATCATCATCATCATCATCATCATCATCATCATCATCATCATCATCATCATCATCATCATCATCATCATCATCATCATCACATCATCATCATCAGAGCTTGTTTGTTAATGAAGAGCTCAGCCCATGTTGCTGAAGATGCGGCCATGAAAAGGAAGATGTCTAACATATGTTTGAATGTCCAGGAACAATGGCGATTCGAATGGAGTTATTTGGACGAGTGGAGGTGCCGCTAAGCATATTGACAATGGAGCCGAAAAGGAGCCTCGCTCTCGCTCGAAGATTTCTTCGTGGAGTCTGTCAGGCCCATTAAGGAAACAAAATAAAAATCATCATCATCATCATCATCATCATCATCATCATCATCATCATCATCATCATCCAGTGCCAGATTTGTGGAAGGACATCGGCGATCATGGTTCTCCATTCATTCCTTTGCTCTTAAAAAAGCTACGTTACCCTGATCTTTCCCCGACATCCATCTGTTAAGGTTCCCTAAGTAGGTTGCTTTGGGCCTACCCCTGCCTCGCTTGCCTTCAATTTTGCCTGTGAGAGCTAGATGTTCAATACCCTAATGTCTATTCAGGTTTCCGAAAAACTACATTGGTCGTTTCCTGATTGTTTTTAACAGTGAGCGTCCCACGTGGGCTTCATCCAAAACTACATTATTTGATTTCTTTTCCTTCCCCGATATTTTCAGCAGTCTGCCAAGAAACCACTTTTCTGTTGGTTCAATTTTATTTCTCACTGTCTTTAGTGACTGTCCAGCATTCACAGCCATATAAGAGGGTTGACTATGAATAATAATAATAGACAATATTTATTACACAACACAAATGCCCACCCAACATCAAGGTCTGTGCGCTTTCCTGTATTATAACCCCAGCAGACCTGATTGGATTCTGAAATAATACCAACTTTTTGGGAAGCATAGATAGATTTAGACAGACAGACAGGCAGACAGACAGACAGACAGACAGACAGACAGACAGACAGACTGACAGACAGACAGACAGACAGACAGACAGATACAATTAGATAGATAGATAAATAGATAGGTAGATAGATAGATGGATAGACAGATAGACAGATAGATAAATAGATAGATAGATAAACAGATAGATAGATACCAGATTTTTTTTATCTTTAGATCTTTCATTTTTTCAATTCTTTATTTATTTTTTCTCCCTTCTGAATAAGGACTAGATCTATTTTATTTGTAATTCAGGAGGACACAGATGATGATGGTGATGATGATGATGATGATGATGATGATGCTGCTGCTGCTGCTGCTGCTGCTGATGATGCACAAAAAGAACACATGTCAAAGTTCACTCACTGTGAGGGTGTCATGGTAACTGCGATGGGAGTCTCTCTTCACTGTGCCTGCGGCCTGGAGGGGATCATCATCATCATCATCATCATCATCATCATCATCATCATCATCATCATCATCATCATCCTCATCATCATCAATATCATCATCATCGTCATCATCGTCATAATCAGCATCTTCTTCTTCTTCTTCTTCTTCTTCTTCT